TCTAGTTAGAAGATGAGTCTCTTGATTGTCTTGGACTGTTTGGAAAAGGGGTGTGTTTCTAAAGCCAATGAGGGCTTGTTTAGGAAGAAGGAAGAGAAAGTGAGTTCTGGGTAACCAATTGATGTCATCACTACTTACTGGAAGGCTCAGGTTGGACCTGGAGAATGGTTACAGTAAAAAGAATGAAAATCCCCTAGAGACAGTTATCTGGCCTGTCAGAACTCATTCCTACCTAACATAGACTCTTGTAGAGGTAAAACAGAGATTCTTAAAAGGTTTTTCTGAAATGTTGTATTATGCTCATGTGGCTTGGTCCCTACCCAGCAATGGTACATATTAATAGAATCAAAGGCCAAACAAACTCAGACCTTTTGTGCTGCTATACAACTGCACTCCTGATTAGCATATGAATCTACTGCCATGGCAATTATGTTGTATGCTATCACTTAAGAACAGGATATAGACAAGTACAGGAGCTGGGATAGGAGACAAAACTCTCCTTGGTAACAAGACTAAATGGAATTATAAGTTCAGCATCAAAATGATGAGAAGCACTAGCAGGAGGACCCTGTGTTTAAAAGGAACATTCTTGAATCTCAGTGAGATGATACTAAACCGCTTTTGGTTAATCCTGACTTCTAAATAATTTTTTAGTAGGCATCAACATTTCAAATACAAATGAAATGGAGCAATTAAACAACAGCTAGGAAAGGGAAGGAGGAAAAGATAGAGGGTAGAACGTGAGTAGAGAAAGCTCTTTGGGAACTTTGGGATAGAGACTCACTTATCTAATTTTCAGACTTTCTAAAATCTACTGAATTGTGACAAAATTTCTTGTCCTCAGACTCACTGAAATTCTCCTCAGCAATGTTCTTTCTGCTATGTAGCCAGCATATTGAGTTATGTTTTTCACACTGATATTTTACTTCCAAGATGTAAAATAATTTTTGTAATGAATGCAATTATTTACCATCTTTCTGAGAATGTTGGCCGTACTTCTAAAGTCCTCTTACTTCTAATTCTTTCCCTTGGTATATAGTCTTTTCTTTGTTGAGTTTTGTGCTTTTGATTCATGATCATGGCGTCCCTTCAATGTTGGGTGATTTTTAGTTGTATACTCACCAAGTATCAAAAATTCCTCATTAGTCTGCTGTGTTTATGCTACAACTTGTTTGTAGGAGAAAGAAGCCATGCTGCCAGGCTTGGGGGATAACTATCCCTCTTTAAGTGTGAAGGGAATGATGGGACACACTTCCAGGGGGGCTGTGCCAGCAGCTAATGATCTGGGAACAGGGGACCCCTTTCCTGTCGGACTCTAAGGAGTTTTCCTTGCTTCTAATTCAAATGCCTTCACTGCTCTGGCCTGGAAAAAACTTATCTTTATTATTCTCTTCTCAACCCAAGGAAGGAGTGGTTACACGCAGGTGCCAAGATGCCTGTCTCTTCTCAGTTATCCACGAGTCCGCACAATGTACGTTCAAACTCGTCCTCATGTGGGGTCCCTTGCACCCTCCTTTTCCCTCAGTACCCTGCATTGTGGACTTTGAATTATGGATTCACTCTTCATTCAGATACACTCTGTCTCAATTCTTCCCAGAATTCATCATAACTGCTGGCCTCTGGAGTACTCTATTTCTTAGGATCTAGTGGGATTATGAACTTATTTATTAAAATATATTTTAAACCATTTTTAGTGTTTGAGGCAAGAAGAGAAAGCTGCGGCAAGTACTCATTCTGCCATTTAGAGATGGAAGTTTTTATCTCGTTTTCTCAGTGACATGAAAAACAAATGCATAATTAAATAATTGTGGGAATTTCATCTTTAAAACATAGAGTTAGTATGTGAGAATTAGACCAATTTCCTTCCTTCCTTCCTTCCAACTACACAATCACCACCTGTGATTGGCCATTCTGAGGCCCATGATAGGTTGGATGATGTATAAGGGACAGCGCTTGCTAACGTGTTACTGTGTATCTAGAATTCTGTATACGGTAGTGGACAGAGCCTTCAGTGTCATTGTGGTTTGTTTTTCTCAGTCTAATGATATAAATTGCCACAACCCACAGTGCCAGGCTCCTATCCTGGAAGAACTGCTATCATTCTTCATGCACTGTCGAAACCATTGAACTTTGACATTAAGGAGGTAATATGAATCTTACAACAACTCAGCAATATAGATTTTATCTCTATTCAACTGGTGAGGAAACTGAGGCTCAGTGAAGTTCAAACTCACATAGCTAATGTTAGTGTTAAATGCTGACTTTGCTGGCCCCAAGTCTGTCTCTGTAAAGCCAAATGTTCTTTATTCAACGCTGCACTTAGTACACACTGCTTTAAGACGGCTCTAGCCCAATGTGATGATTCTCTCTCCCCTAACTCCCATTTTATGTACTAAGCTCCACCAAAAAAAATCTCTCATCATGTAAGGTTAAACTACGTGAAACTGCTATTTTTATAGTTGACAGATGGTCAAGGGTTGGCAATTTTATATAGTTCAACCTAATATACTGTCTTTAATTGTGTAACAGAATGGAGAAATTTCTGTTCTTTATAAGCCAAATGCTTAGAAATTCCCATAGCGGTGCCTGAGCTTGCTGGGAATGTACCTTGATAATCCAGTTTGAGGTGGACAGATCCTGCCCCAAAAATGGATTCTAAAGTTTCTAACAGAGAAATCAGTTGGCCCCAGGTAGTGAGGGGTAGACGAGGCAACAAGAAGCCTGCCATGGAGACAAACTCTGGAAATTGGTGGTAATCACTATGAGGCTTCCGCTTCCTCAGATCAAGAAAGTGGATGTTTGAGGCATTCCTATCTAGATCTCAAGAATAAAAGAAGCTCCAGTTGGCATCCCAGGTACTAATGTCCCATGTATTTCTGAGAATCAGGAACCAAAGCTGTGATTATTCATAGGACAGAGTTAGGGGGTTCACTAAATGTTTCATTGAACTAAAGAACAATCATCCCAATCTGACTGTCAGTATCTCGTTGGATGTCACATACGATGATCTGAATTTTCTACAGTGCCTTAAGCATGTGCTAGAAATTTGAAAGGTATTCATTTAAAAGCGTAGATTCTGATTGGCAGTCTAACTGTTTCTGATAAAAATACTCTGCCAAGATACATCAATTAACCTTTGTCCAGGGAAGAGAAGATCATGAACTAATAACCTGGTCACACAAGATAATGGTGCCCTCATTTTGAATGATAAACGTATTGGGCAATGGCAAGACTCAGGCACTTGAGGCACTGACAGAGGCACTATCTCCTCTGTCATTTAAAGGTGCGGTTAAGGCTAAATGTATGAAATCTTCTTCTACAGTCTAATTAGTGACTTGCAAGAAGTCTGTGGTGTGTGTGTGAATGCGTGTTCCTATTTCATGGTGAATGTGTATATTACCCCTTTCCCAATAATGTGTCAGTTTCTTAAATACAGAGGCCTAGTTCTCCTCTTCTGTAGTGTTTCCCCTCCAGTATACTTCTTTATGATGACCATTTTAATAATAAATTGATAATCATCAAAAAGGTTCATTTTAATCTGTATAAAAGACTAAAAGAGGATTTTACAACAGAACATAATTTTAAAACATTTTTAAAATATCATTCTAAATTTTTAACTATATTACAATAGAGAGTGGTGCAAGTTGAGGACTCTCTGAATATTAAATACCTCATTATTCTGAACATTATAAATATGCCTTTGTTTCATGTTTAAAACAATCAACCATCTGTATTACTATTACTTCTACTGTCATGTAGGAGCATTTATGGTTTGTAGTGACTCGTAAAAATCGACTCAGTTTAGGAAAACCACTTTGAAGAAGATTAAAAACACTGTGAGATTAAATAATTTATTACCATTGCTAAGATGAACACATATACTTAATACTCAATTTTTATGCAGAACTTTAAAAAAATAGTTTTAATACAGTATCAAAATTTACACAAGTATTTTGTCAAAAGACCAGGGTCCCTTGTATCAGCTTCTGCAGGCTCAGCTGCAGGCACAAAAACTTGTTTTAAATGTCTTCGGCATGTAGGAATACAACAATTTAAGGATGAAAGCTTTCCTAGGAGAGAGGGTAAATATAGCAAGCAATTTTCTCTGACAGAGTAATAATATTTAAAAATATAACATTTGAAAAGAAAGAAAGGCTTAAACTGTAACCCAGTTACAATAATTAGAGAGATAATTCTATAGTAAATTAATTCATAAATATTTTCTGAAAATAGAGGGCTGTTTTTTTTTAATCCCAGTAACATCTTTGAAAGCGTAACAAAATCCCTTCACATTCCCCCACTGGGGACAATTAACACTGCGTCATGAGCCCTTTCAAAAACAACAACAACAGAAAATACCTGCTATGAATCAACTTTCAAGAATTTAGGACATATCTGAAAATTAAAAAAACTGTTGCATTCCTACTCTTATAATCTTAAACTACAATAAAAACGTAGCATTCTGCCACAGGCCTCTTGCACATTCATACAAGAAACTATTGTTGCATTTGGATAAACACAAAATACCTATCAGAGCATTTCCGATACACACATTCTAATAATCTTTTATATATATGTATATATATAGCAAAAATAAGAAATAAACTAAGCAAGGCTAGCACACCTCTTTTTCAAACCTCAAGCAATCTGAATCAGAGCTTTTAGTCTCAATAATGAAGGACATGCGTCAGTTTCGTAAAACATTAGAGAGCTGCAGGAGGCAAAGAAAGCTTTTTCATAAATGCAGTGCAATATTTTAAAGTTTACATAAAGTTTATTAAATATACAGCATGTCTAGAAACTAAATTGTAGAAATTGACATTTCACAGCTCAAAACACTTAGAAAAATTATGTTTGCTTGTTTTTTAGTTGAAATTGTTCATATTAACATCGACGGATACACTACATGAATAGGAAGGTTGGTATATCCCCAAGATGTATCTTTATGAGAAACTCAAGATCAAAAGAAAAGATATATTTATTCTTGATCAATTGAAATAAATGGTACTGTCTGACACACATACTCTACAAAGTCTTACTATCCTTCTAGCTGGTAGGGAGAATTTACGTGGTATTTTTAGCACCTCAACCATCAAAACAAAACCCCGGAAATGTAATCTTATCTTGCATACAAATTAAATGTGTGTCACAACCTAGTATTCTGTTGACTGAAGTGTTAAGAGGTCGGTGTCCAACTCTCAGACTCGAGAAGCCAGAAAACACCTTGTTGTAGCTTCAGTACAACATGGTAGAAAACACCTGCTGATCTATGCAACAGTCAACTCTGTCTCATCTGTGCAGATTTCCCAATAACAACATTAGCTCTGGGGAGGTAAAAATATTCTAATTCTAATGAAAACACTGGTACCAAAATGGTGATTTTCAAAGCTACTTTGTTAGAGATCAACTCTTATAGATACTGAAGTGAGAGACACAGAGTATTAGCTTGAGGAGGGGAGTTGTACGGACGTTTTAGAGGGGAGATATGTGCAATGTACAATCAATCACTCCTTATTATTTCATAAGTCCAGGTTTGCAGATACACACTCTTTCTTTTTCTTCTTCTTCTTTTCTTTCTTTCTTTCTTTTTTTTTTTTTATGTTTTTATCTCTTTCTGGCAGTGGTGATCTCATGTTTACAAAACAAGGATTCTCACATTGGTCCTTTGTACTGGTTTCCTGACAAATGTTGCCTAATTCCAGGACATGAACCTGCAGCATCTCCAAGTTTCTTCCACACAACCTTGACAAAAGAAGAAAAAAGGAAGTAAGCATCTTACTTGTCCTCTTCCACAAAGAGATTCCTGGCTTCTAAGGGGAAACTATGAGAAGGACAGAGAGGAATGTGAAGACGAGAGACAAAATACCCGTATGAATGAGCGCAGACACAAAATAAAATGTGGTGACAAGCTCTGGAACACAAGAACTGCTCAGGAGATGGGACTACTACACCTTGCTAGCAACTAGGGTTACAATTAAGGAATGATGTGCCAACTTACTCTAGTTACCTAAGTGGTCCTCCACTCCAGCTGCAGACAAAGCACCCAGGGAACTCAAACAGTAACTCCCACCCTCAGAGGTTCTGATTTCCTTGGTGGAAGTGTGGCATGAGTCGCTGTATATTTTTTTTAGCTCCCCAAATGATTTGAATGTGTAGCCAGAATTAAGAACCCCCTAGGCAAGATCATTCTGGTTCCTATATGTGTGTCATACGTTTATAACAAAGAAGATTGAGGTATTTAATCCACGGAGGAAAATGAAGAAGCTTTTGTTCTTGAGCTATTTCAAATCTGAGCTACTAGTCTTAGGGTCATTAGTAAGTTTCCTTGGCTTTCTCCACAGAGTGGGGGCCTCAGTTGCAAATGTTAGCTATCAATTCAGGAATCATTGAAAGAGATACGATTTCAACATGTTAAAAACTGTGCCATTTTAGAGGGACATTAGCAAAAGGTGAGATCAAGACTAAGCATAAAATCACTGAATTCACCAATAATAAACCCAAATACTGACACTAATTGGAATACACACCTGCATGCACATGATGTGTGCACACACAAGAACAGCCATGGTCATCCTGGAGTGCTTTACTATAAGGGTTATGTTCATATTGATTAATTCCACAAAGATTTACAGGGCTCTAACATGAACACAAAAACCAGCCTTTTCATTAAATATTCATAGGCTATATTTGTTTTGTTTGTTTTATTTTTGCTTTTAAATAGAAGAGGATATTCCAGGGTCAACCAATACCATTTATAGCATTAACACAAAAGAGTATAGGGTTCTGTCTGTCTTCATTTCCAAGTCAATGGGACTATTAATTTCTATGTTTCAGCAGACACTACTACATGGCAGAAATGTCCTGTTGTATTTAAAGTGAGGTATAGTCATGGCCTTTAAGTGTTCAGGAAGGAATTACATAGCCATGCATGGCTCACGCTATAGGCAAGAAAGTCAGAAAGGACCATCCCTTACTAAACTGACTGAAAAGGTACAAACAGAATCAGGAACCCAAAGGATGCCATGGATGTTGCTTCAGAACTCCTAAATATGATTGCTTCTACCTAGAATATTTTGAATGTCTGGTTTGAAGCAAAGCATAGACTTGAAGACCCCAAGAGGATCATGGACACAAAACATTAGATGGTTACCACTCTAAAGTGTAACTCTTATAGAAGTATGCAAAAGTAGAACTCAAGGAACTTCCCTGATATCTCTATCCGGCAAAAGGAAACTTTTAGAGAAGTCAGAACTTAAATCAATAAATCAAAAATATTAAGGTGGATCCAGGAGCTGTGACTCGTTAGCTAAAAAAGCAAACTAGGTCTGTGTTTGAGATGGTGCCTGAGAAGACCTGTCAAATATTTCTACTGTCCTCAAGGAATTTACGAGAACTAAACAGATAAACCTAAAATAAAACTATTACTACAAACAGACAAATTTGCTACTTCCTAGGGGGAAGTATATTTATTTCTGTAGCACAATTTGGGAAGAGAATACATAACTTCATGCTTACTACCCAAAGTGGGGGTGCTATAAATAAGAGTCTTTTCACTGTCGGAATGTCAACAACTTAGCTCCAAGAGCAAATACCAGCAAAGCTTCTATTATCCTAAGTTTTACCTGAGTTATATAACCAATCTCACATAATGAGAAAGGTTTTCATTTCTATGACATTATTATAACGGTATATAGTTTCTCTGCTAGAAACCGAAGCTTCACGATCTTCACTCTTTTTTTAAGAAATTGCTTAATAATGAAACTGCTTTACAATTTGCCTTTTCCCTATTCTCTGATATTTATAATACATCATTTTAAATGAACACTTTGTTCTCGGGGCTTTTAATTTGTTTTTAAATGTAAGATTGCTTAAGAATCAGATTTGTATTTGTATTTTTCCTCAAATTCTGTGGATCAAAGACAAAAGTGGACAATTAGGAAAAAATACACTAGAAAACTTTTAAAGGTAAATGAGGGCAAACTCTAGGATTACTGAAAGTATCTTATATCATGAAAACAACACTACATGGAGTCTTGGAAAATGTTTTTAAAATACAGGCAAACAAAAAGATCAACACAAAACTAATCAAGATCCAATCCAGTTCGTAGGTTTCTTTTGAGACTAAGAAATCAATTTTCTAATTCAGGAAAGACAATGGAGAAGGAGGAGGGGGAAGGGGAAGCAGAAGGGCAAGGGAAAGAGAGGAAGAG